GAGGTCAGTCAGTACCGCCCTAACATGGAGCTGCGGGCCGCAAAGGCCTCAGAAATAAATTTCCCGAAGAAGAATCACAGGGACAAGCGCTATCAACAGAGGAGCCCGCTGGAGGTCTGAAAGATCAGCTGCCTTCACTTATGATGAAATGAAATATTTCGACACATTGCACAACTGACCAATCTCCCCCTGACCCGACCTCTCGGTAGGGTTCCTCCCCTGCCTCCCTCCCACCACCGCCGGCCATCCTAGCACCCTCCTGCCGCCGCAGGCCGCTCAAGCCCCGCCCCACCCCCTCTCCCTTCTCCCGGATCCGCCCTTGCGCCGCCTCCCCAGGAGGTGGCCGGGGTGGCGCGCCCCCCTCTCTCAGCGGTCCCCTCCCCCTTCCCCCTCCCGTCGGCGGGCGCCCCCGATGCCGGCGCGGGTGGTGCCGGCGGCGGCGGGACTTCCTGCCCCCCCTACGTGTGGTTCCCCTTCCCGGGGGAAGGGACGGTGGCGGTGCTGCTTGGTTTGGCAGCTATCTGGTGGCGATGGCCGGCGGCGGGCGAGGTGGCGGTGCGGCTCCTTGGCGGCGGGATGACTTGGTGGCGCGGGGTGGTAGGTGACGCACCCCATCTTAGATCTAGGCCATGTGGGCCCCATTTGGGTCCTAGCGGGCCAGCCCCGGCGCCGGCTCATTGTCTTCTCTGCGGTGGGGAGAAGGAGCAGCTCAAACCGGGGGCGATGACGCCAACGGCGTGCCTGCTGCAGCGCGAAGGCAGGAGCTTTACGGGCCTATGAGGGACCAACTAGGCCTATGGGTCCACGGGCCTGGTATGCTCCTGTTATTGCGTCCGGTCAGCTACCGTCATTGACGGTGAACATCATTGACGGTAGAGGTTGAGGCCTCCCGCATGCCGACGGTGCTGCTGCCTCTAGTCCCGACTCCTCTTCTTCGGTGTGCAGACCTCACTTCGTGGTACCGTGGTGACACAACGTGGAAGCTTCAAGACCATGTTGGCGTAGGGTGGTGGTCGATTTGGTGGTGGGCTCCGGAGTGCTCGAGGTGAAGGTTGGGATCGGGTGAAATTCTTGACGGCCTGGCCGACACCGACGCGGTGGCGCCTGAGGGTGCCGTCGGACCTTCCTGGAGGGCGTCGGAGGCTACCCTTCCTCTCTCCTTATCGTGTACTAGGGGTAACGCTTGCCAGGAGTGTCGTGATCGTCGCGTCCCTTCTTGGAGGTGTTGATTGGTATCGGCGCTTCGGAGTATAGGCGTTTGGTGGGAGATTTCCGGTGGGCGCAGTGGTCGTGAGGCTTCTTCATTTTGTCGATCCGTCATTGTCGGCATTTGTTTCTTTTGTATTTTATTTTTGGTTCTTTTGGGCGTGTCTGTGCTGCTTCTCACCCCAACATATATCGTTGGTTGTGTCGGTTGATTGCTTTATAATACAAAGCGAGGGAAACCCTTTTTGGATGATGAAATGACATTAAGGTTATTTGGCCAGATCTCCATAATAGCTTCTCAAGTGGGCACTGGAAGTATATATGCTGGAACAACTCATCTTTATCACAAAAGAAAATACTTAGTGCATCGTTGCGAATTTCTTTTTTTTCAGATTATCTTTTGCCAGGATGACCTTGCAAGCTAAGTACCACATGAAGATATATATTTTCATCGGGACTTTCATTTTTCAAATATATTTCTGGTGGACATTTTTCCCTGAAGGAAATATGCCCTAGAGGCAATAATAAAGTTATTATTTATTTCCTTATATCATGATAAATGTTTATTATTCATGCTAGAATTGTATTAACCGGAAACATAATACATGTGTGAATACATAGACCAACACAGTGTCACTAGTATGCCTCTACTTGACTAGCTCGTTAATCAAAGATGGTTATGTTTCCTAACCATGAACAAAGAGTTGTTATTTGATTAACGAGGTCACATCATTAGTTGAATGATCTGATTGACATGACCCATTCCATTAGCTTAGCACCCGATCGTTTAGTATGTTGCTATTGCTTTTCTTCATGACTTATACATGTTCCTATGACTATGAGATTACGCAACTCCCGTTTACCGGAGGAACACTTTGGGTACTACCAAACGTCACAACGTAACTGGGTGATTATAAAGGAGTACTACAGGTGGCTCCAAAGGTAGATGTTGGGTTGGCGTATTTCGAGATTAGGATTTGTCACTCCAATTGTCGGAGAGGTATATCTGGGCCCTTTCGGTAATGCACATCACTTAAGCCTTGCAAGCATTGCAACTAATGAGTTAGTTGCGGGATGATGTATTACGGAACGAGTAAAGAGACTTGCCGGTAACGAGATTGAACTAGGTATTGGAGACCGACGATCGAATCTCGGGCAAGTAACATACCGATGACAAAGGGAACAACGTATGTTGTTATGCGGTCTGACCGATAAAGATCTTCGTAGAATATGTAGGAGCCAATATGGGCATCCAGGTCCCGCTATTGGTTATTGACCGGAGACGTGTCTCGGTCATGTCTACATTGTTCTCGAACCGTAGGGTCCGCACGCTTAACGTTATGATGACAGTTATTATGAGTTTATGCATTTTGATGTACCGAAGGTTGTTCGGAGTCCCGGATGTGATCACGGACATGACAAGCAGTCTCGAAATGGTCGAGACGTAAAGATTGATATATTGGAAGACTATGTTTGGACATCGGAAGAGTTCCGGGTGAAATCAGGATTTTACCGGATTACCGGGAGGGTTACCGGAACCCCCCGGGAGCCAAATGGGCCTACATGGGCCATTGTGGAAAGGTGAAAGGGGCTGCCAAGGAGGGCTGCGCGCCTCCCCCCCTCCCCTAGTCCTATTAGGACTAGGAGAGGTGGCCGGCCACCTCTCTCTCTTTCCCTCTCTCTTTTTCCCAAGGATTCCTAGTTGGAATAGGATTGGGGGGGGGGGGAGTCCTACTCCCGGTAGGAGTAGGACTCCTCCTGCGCCTCCCTCCTTTGGCCGGCCAGCCTCCCCCCCTTCATCCTTTATATACGGGGGCAGGGGACACCCCAAGACACACAAGTTGATCCTTGAGATCGTTCCTTAGCCGTGTGCGGTGCCCCCTGCCACCAAATTCCACCTCGATCATACCGTTGTAGTGCTTAGGCGAAGCCCTGCGTTGGTAGTACATCAAGATCGTCACCACGCCGTCGTGCTGACGGAACTCTTCCTCGACGCTTTGCTGGATCGGAGCCCGAGGATCGTCATCGAGCTGAACGTGTGCTAAGAACTCGGAGGTGCCGGAGTAACGGTGCTTGGATCGGTCGGATCGGGAAGACGTACGACTACTTCCTCTACGTTGTGTGATCGCTTCCGCAGTCGGTCTGCGTTGGTACGTAGACAACACTCTCCCCTCTCGTTGCTATGCATCACCATGATCTTGCGTGTGCGTAGGAATTTTTTTAAAATTACTACGTTTCCCAACATTCCCATCATTGATTAGGTCTAAATACATGGATTTGACCGTGAGGGCATGTACAATGCCCGGCGCTTGTGTAGGCGCTTATAGACGAGAAAAAATAGTATTAAATTAAAAAAATATCTAAGCACCCATGTCTTCCAACGCGAGATGCTAAACAGCCTGTGCTAATTGGATGCTAATTTGAACTGGCCATGCACCGCATGTAGTAGAGAAAGGAGCGAAGCGCCTCATGCCTCTCTTTGCGTCGACACAGCGCCCGGCGCTGGGATTTGACGACCTCTACCGCCGAACGACCAGGAATTCAATAGGAAAGGAATCCTGGCGCCTCTTCAAGCACCCGGCGTTGGAGATGCCCTAAAGGCATCAGAACTAGTCAACTTTCAAAAGAATGTGTTTGATTCCTGTGAAAGGTTAACCGACATCGACCTTTCAACAAGATTTAACCTATCGGTCCATTTGTCCCCAATAAGTGTCTTCGGGAGGCAACACTCAACGGTACCTAGCCCATCACAAAAGCAATAGAGACACCTTTCCGCTACACAACATGATAGAGCCGTGGGTATTGCAAGCCTAGTGGTGATCCCTTAGCCATGTATATTGCCAAAACCTATCAGTTAGACCATTGCCTACTACAAACGCCCCTTAAGGGAAAAAAAAGTCTTTTTGGACCCCATGAGACCTTTTCAGAAAGGCGAGTCCGTTTGTTTGGCCTCAACCTTCAAGAGGGTTTTATAACATAGGTACTTATTTCTAAGTAATTCTTGCCAACGCCCTACACAGTAAGTATGTTGTATAGCCATTTTCTCAACACACACTTATTTTTAATCTCAAGGTCTTTCACACCTAGACGTTCTTGGCTTTAGGGACACATATCGCATCCTATCTCGCAAGACGGTATTTATGTCTACGTTCATTAGACTGCCAGAAAAACCTGGATCTGTAGTATCCAATCATTTCCTTACCCCTTTAGGTATTTTAAAAAAAATACTATGAACATAGGTAAATTTGTGAGAAGAACATTGATTAGGATGAGTGTTGCCTCATACGACATAAGCTTACTAATTCAACAATCCAGTTTTTTTCTCAACGCGATCCTCAATACCTTTCCATTCCTTATTAAGAAGTTTACGAAAATGCATTGGAATAGAAGGTGTCTAAAAGGAAAAGAGTCAGTCTCAGAACCAAATAGTTGTTTGTACTGAATTCTCATTTTTTGGCCTTTCCAAAGCAGAAGTTCGCTCTTGTAAAAGTTGATCTTCAGACCACATGACTGCTCGAAGTATAGTACAGTTGATCTTGGCACGGTAGGGTTTCTTTGATTAGAGAATTAATCCATTGTTAGACGCACGATCAACCCCATTAGCCAACAGGCTTCCTTATCAGCTTATTCAGCATTATATATGTGGAAGTGAAAACATGAAGCTCAATTTCTCTTACAGTTGCAGATAAATTAGAAGCTCATTCATCAGTAGTTCATTCTACTGACTTGTGCTAGTTCACTTATTAGGTACAAAACGAACTGATGGAATGAACTATAAACAAATAAAATAAAAATCATAACCCCTTGAGCAGCACATCCTCAACGAACCTATCAAGGTTAGCAGAGGACGAGCCCCCTTCTTTGGTAGCATCTTCAGCGAGCCTCTTCCACTCCAACGTCTTCTCCCTGGCCTCCATCCCCTTCCTCCCGGCCATCATCTCCCTCACCAGTGCGGCTATCTCATCGCCCCTCGCCTCCTGCGGCAGCTCCGCTCCGATGTTCCACGCCGTGCTTACCTGCCGGCAGTTGGTCGTCTGCTCGGATACCATCGGCCAACCGAGCACCGGCACCCCCCCGATCACGGTCTCCAAGATCGAGTTCCACCCACAGTGCGTAACAAAAAGCCCCACGGCTGGGTGGGCAAGGACCGCCTCCTGGGCACACCAAGGCACGACGAGCCCGTTCTCCCCGACCTCAACGCCGGCCGCCAGGTCGGACCGCAGAATCCACAGGTAGGGAGAGCCGCACCTCGCCAGCCCGGACGCGAACTCCTTTATCTTGTCGGCGCCCGCGGCGGCGTGGCTCCCGTAGCTCATGTACACAACGGAGCGGGCCTCTTTCCCGTCCAGCCACGCCATGCACTCCGTGTCCTCCTGAAAGAGGCTCGGCGTGTCCGTGGAGCTCGAGAAGTCGCCGCCTCCCGCCAGGAGCGACGGTACGATGCTGGAGAGAGGGCCGACGGTGTAGACGGGCGGGAGGAAGGCGGCGAGCGCGTCGACGACGTCCTTCTCCATGTCGTGGAACGTGTTGATGATGACGGCCTTGGATCCGGCGACGACGCGCATCTGGTGGAGGTGGATGCGCATCAGCGCGCTGTCGGCGTCCGTCGTGTGGCAGAAGGTCGGCATGTCCCTGAGCCGCATGCCCTTCATCCCTGGCACCCAGTCCAACGGGGCGTCGAGGCTGCCGTCCGTCTTGTACCCGGCTCCCTTCAGCGGGACGAGGCCCCTCTTCACCAGCTCCTCGAACCGCATGTACCCCATGAGCCCGGCCGCGGACGCCGTGAAGAACGTCACGTCGGGGACGCCGACGTCCCGCGCCGCCATGGAAGCGAACGACATGGGCGCGTCCACCACGACGCAGCTCACGGGGGGCGCGCCGGGCCTGCGCGCCATCGCGCGCAGCAGCTCCTTGAACGGCTCGAGGCAGTTCTGCTCCAGCGCGTCATGGTGCGCCTCCAGCGTCCGCGGCGGCGCCTCCAGCGACAGCCCGTCGGGAATGACCTCGACGCCGAGCCACGGCGCGGCGGCCGCGGACGCGTCGGCGCCCTTGGCGAGCAGGAGGCGGCGGTGGTGCAGCTCGGTGTGGACGAGCGTGACGCGGAAGCCGCGGGCGTGGAGGACGCGCGCGAGCTGCGTGTGCGGCGCGACGTGGCCGTGCGCCGGGAACGGCACGAACACCACGTGCGGCTTCTGCTCCGAACCCATAGGACGCGAGCTCGACGGCCGCCGGAGCTGGCTAGCTTGATCGACTGAGGCAGGGTCCGTACGCTTTCCTTTGCTACGCCATTACTACTGGTGCGTGGGCATATAAAGGATACGCCGACATTCTCGCTGGTTTTGCAGGGGGTAGCTGCAGCGTGCGGTCGGGCGGGGGCGGGAGCGGAGGCAAAAGGGCCACGACCGTGAGCTCCACAGGCCGTTCACGAGACCGATCGGACAGGGACACGGATGATTCGAGACCACACGATCTGCCGGAACGCCCAAGGGGCCATGGCCTGACGGGACCAGCTTGGTACTACTACGTGGGAGCACACAGTGCATGCAAGCCAACAACCACCTTCGTTTTCGTGGGCTGCCCGAACACTTGGCAACCGACTAACGAACTCAGCTAGTCTTGTCAAAAGAGCAATGCTAGACATATGAAAAAGGTAAATACAGGTCCTCGAACTTGTCACGGATGGATGTTCAATTTAGTGTGTGAACTTAAAACCGACCTGGTTTTAAAACTTGGCATGAATGTGTAAATACAATGCTGATCTTATTTGTATACGTAGTGCGCCGACTTGACATCGTATATGGCTGACGTGGCACAGGTCCCACTTATAAATACGAAACAAAATTATTTGCCTACTATATGTCTCTGACTAGTGGGTTCCGTGTGGAAAATTAAAATGAAAATTTGTACCACACAAGAATCGATATAAGGAAATGTTTCCTATCAACCGGCGGATCGTTCGCACGAATCGAGTGTCTCCGCAACCATTCGATCAACGCTTCATCATGCGGCGCACAACACCCTGTAATTTTCCAACATTGGTAGTGTTGTAGAAATAACCAAGCGCAACACAGGGCATGTTGCACAACACCCAACCCATCTACCTTCTTGTTGCATCCTCCCATCCACAACCACCGCCAAGCCAGGGAGATGCGCCACCGCGCTCCATGATGACCGGCCAGATCGCCCCACCGCGCGCCTCTTAGCCTTTGTGCCGAATCTTCGCAATCGAATGCCTCCCTGCCAACCAGATCAATGGATCCGGCGAGGGGCGTCACCAACCTCGCCGTTGACGCGGACGACGACAGGCGAGATCTCCCCATCGCGTGCCTCCGCTTCTCCACGTCGGATCTCCACCGTCGAATGCCTCCCCACCGATCGGGCCGACGGACCCGGCGAGGAGCATCGCCAACCTTGTCGTTGACACGGACGACCGTCGATGAGATCGCCCCACCACGCGCCTACTCACCTCCATGTCGGATCTCCGCCATCGAGTGCCTCCCCACCGACTGGATCAACGGATCCGGCGAGGAGCGTCACCAACCTCACCATCGTCCTCTAACCAGTTTCAACAACAACGACGTTGTTGTTGAATGGTGGTGATCAACACGGCGGCGCTAGTGGACGAGGTGGCGACGATGTTTCTGCAACATAATATTTGTTGCAAAAAAATTATAACAAGGGTCTTGTTGCAAGAATACATAAAAGGGGCCATAGATGTTGTTGCAAATTTTGCAACTAAGGTTTTTTTTTCAATAAAGGGAATTTCATTTCATTGAAATATCGAGGTGATACAATCGCATAGTAAGAAGGGAAAACTTTGTTTTTGCCACTCTAGTTTTTGCCAACTTTGCTTATGCCACTCTAGAATTTGACATTTCACTTTTGTCACTCTTAGCTTTTGACAATATATCACTTTTGCCATTCTGTGGCAAAAACGATAATTTTAGAGTGGCAATTATGATACATGTCAAAAGCTAAGAGTGCAAAAGTAAAATAAAAAATTATTGTTTTTGCCACGGAATGGCATTTGTGATGTATTGTCAAAAGCTAAGAGTGGCAAAAGTGAGATGTCAAATTCTAGAGTGGCATAAGCAAAGTTGGCAAAAACTAGAGTGGCAAAAACAAAGTTTTCCCTAGTAAGAAAGCCCGACCTCTGCATAACCAGATGCACACAGCCAACAAGTCCACAAGTCCGAAAAAAGCAAAAAGTAGCGAAGGAAAAAACATAAGCCAGTCTAAGACGTGGCAGATCCTATCTGAAGATCACACCATCATTTATGGGGGTAAAAACCCTCCCTGACCGTACGCTTCAGCCGTGTAGACACCATTATAAAAAGGTCCCTGTCCTCCGGCCTCTGCGGGATAGACCAAGTACGGAGCCATCGCGAGCATGCATGGATAACCTGCATAGGAGATGAAACACTTTTATTGTTAAACACTACATCATTCCTGGTAAGCCACAGTGCCCAACATAAGGCAGCTGCCCCCACTAGAATGTGTGCAAAAAATTGTTTTTGAAAACCACTCAACCAATTGCCGAATATATTCCGTGCACTACGTGGTGGATAAAGATTTGAAGCTATTTGAACAACAGTCCACACAGATCGAGCACACTTGCACTCAAAAAATAAGTGTTTAATAGACTCATCGTGCTGACAGAAGACACATTTTTTGCTCCCTTGCCAGTTGCGCCATGCCAAATTATCCCTAGTTAATATGACCCCTCTATTAAGAAACCAAAGAAAAATCTTCACTCTTAGAGGTATTTTGAGCTTCCACAATTTTCCGTTGTCAACCGGAACCTCATTATGAACCAGATCATCCTACATGGACTTGACTGAAAACATGTCATTCTGATGCAACTTCCATCGAAATATGTCCGATTCATCCAACAACTGAATAACTTCCAGGCAGAGGAGTAATTCATTCCATGCTGCCAACCGAGGTCATAGGAGATCCCTACGAAAAGAAATATTCGGGTTTACCTGTCCCAGCACTTGTTTGGTTGTAACAAATTTATGTCTGACAATCCTATACAAGTTTGGGTATTGCAACAAAGGTCTTATTGCAGAAATTTTGCATCAAAAGTCTTGTTGTAGAATTATATAGTTTTGCAACAAGAGTCTAGTTGCAAAGAAATAAAGAAGAGGAAACAACCCACATCATTGGGAGAAGAATTCTACGAGACCAGGTCTCACACGAGACCCATCCTGATGAATGCCACGTGTCATCCATCAGGACGGGTCTCATCTGCTAACCGTGAGACCTGGTCTCATATAATATTTTCCCACACCGTTGAATCGGACGGCTCATAAGCCGGCCGATGCGTAGCATACGCCCCATCTATATATGCCCCTGACTAGTGGATCCCGTTTGGGA